TTGACTTGGCGTCACCTTTTTGGGGTGGTGACCTGGAGGTGTTTTTGCCTTTGGAGCCCTTGGATCCTTTCCCCTTTTGAGGATAGGGGCGTTGGGATTGGGCTGAGCTGGATGGACTGGGGTCTGCTAAGGCCACAACTGGATAGTAGCCACGGTTTGTCTTGAGCTCTGCAAACCTCCGGCGGGCATCAACATATGATGCATATGCCTCTTCCCACTCGGGATCATCAACATCAGGCATATCGTCCCCCTGATGGAGAATTTCTTCCAGCTCGTCATCCTCATAGTTGACCTCTTCAGGATCATCCGGCCAATCACCAAAGTAGGCGTCAGCCTCATCAACTTCATAGAACTCTTCATAGTCCTGAAGGTCGGGATCATCATCATTTGCAGCGTATGCCGCTTGGGAGCCCTTCTTCTGCCACTTGTAGGCATTCTTTCCAGCTGAGCGAGGTGCATTGTAGGGCTTGCCACGATGGTCATAGGTGGAGCGGCCACGAAAATCTTGGCCAAACAAAAAGTACATAGCTTCTTCAACTTTTGTTTCCTCCAATGTTGCTCCACACTGCGATTGTACCAATTGCTTCTGCTCCTGAGACAACCCACTCCTCCGAAGGAGGAGCCAACCAGTCACTTCCGCCGGCAGGGAGATGTTGTGTTTCTGGACCTCCCGCAGTGCTTCACGATGATCAGCACAATACGACATCAATATCTGATCCGGCCTTCTTGAGAGGCTATAGAAAAACTTCTCGAAGGCCCTTGGTTGTTCAACACGGTCATCGTATTTGAACGTCCTATCCAACACTGCAATCAACTTTGAGAAACCTTCCTTGTCCTCACTCAATGCGTCAGCTTGGGGTTCCAACTGCTTCCATGCGATGCCGGTCATGGTGGTGAGGATGTTGATGATTCCTTCAACAGGTTTCTTCTGCAGTTGCATCTTCTTGTAATACAGGTGGATGCGAGCCCTCCACTCTCTGTAGTCCTGAGGCCGATTGCTAAAGGTCGGCACCCATGAATCCTTGGTGGTGTTACCAGCTGTGCTCGAAGTCGAAGCCATCTGCACAACGTGTAGCAATGCTCAATGTACGACGATCAACGATCAAGGTGCAATGTCCAATGCTCAATGTCAACTTGCTCAATGTATACAATATACAATGTGCAATAAGCAAAGGCCAGTGTGCAACGTACAGGGTGCAAGAGCAATGCAGCTCAACCAACTCTCAAATCAACAACCAATTATCAACTGGCAACACGGTAAGAAGCCCCTAGCCGGGGCTCCGCTGGCTCCGCTACCAATTTGAAGGTAGCAACAAGTGCAACCAATCCAAGAAACAACCTCACGAAGTGTCGTTTCGCGAAATCCGGTTTGATGCGGCCTTTTCACAACAACGTAAGCATAACGTCAAGGTGCGATCGTTGCCCTCCCATCTTAGGAGGTCACGTCGGAAGGTAGAGCCGAGTGCCAGCGATCGTCAGAGAGCTTTCCTAAGTCCAGCGTTCTAAATGCAAACCATATCATAGAATAACATTCACAGTAAAAAATTAAAAATCGATTTAATTAAGGCACCATCAATTTAAAAAAAAACCTAATCGTACTTATAAAAATATTTCTTTCTTTCCATAATATTTCTATATAAGAAACTATCTCCAATTTATAAATAATATTGCGCGATGTCCATAATGCTTATAAAAAGCACCATATAATCTAATAATGCTAGTTTACACGAAATTATTTCGCATTTGCCAATAATACCAAGACCTTATTTTAAAGTTATAAAAAAAACAATTCGAACAGAAAATTATTCAAAATATATCGCCATAATTACAACAAACCAAAATAAATATATATATCAAAAAATGCAAATCGAAAATAAAATCAATATAGTTCTATTAAATACTTAAAAGGAAAGAAATACGAAAGATAAAACAACGAAAAGAGAAGAAAACGCGAGAGGCAAAAACAAAAATGCAATATTCGATATAATAATATCCCCTCGGAGGCGATTTTTCGTAAATATATGTTTATATGCATTCTAAATGTTCAAACATATATTCTCGAAATGTTCAAAAAGATATTTAAGAAAATAAATTTATCCCATGGTTCAAATCATCGGTAAGTATTAAATCGAAACATCATAAAATTTAAATTATTTTAAAACCATAAAAAGCTCACGAAGACGCTCCAAAACAAATTCTAGGAATATATCCCCTCGGGAACACCTTTCGTAATTAAAATTTCATATTCACTCTTTCTAAATGTTCAAGAGGGTTTCAACTATCCTAAAATCATAAGAGGCTCACGAAAACGTTCTCCAGGAAAGAATTAATTTTAGAGGGGGTAAGGGGGGGGGAGGTCTGTATTAAAAAATCAATTCCAAAGAGGCGGGGGAGGGGGTCTGTATTAAAAAATCAATTCGAGGAGGGGGGGGTAGGGGGGGGGGTAAATTAAGCGATCAATTATTAGACCCGGACGTTCCAACACTTGCTTCGCAAAACAAACTCAAGGTATCCCCTAAAAGGCTACCTTTCGTGAAATGCAAAATCTTTCAAAACATCAAATATATTAAAAATTTATCAATACAATATGTTTAGCCAAATCTTTCGCAAAAAAAAATTCTTTCGCGACCTCGAGAAACCATATTTGTGAAATGAGGTTTTGACATGTTCCAGGGTCATCGTAATCACCGCTATATATTAGGACCTTGATCGATAATTATACGCGAATTCCCTAGACATAAGAATTTTGCCTGAGTAAAAGGTAGGTGAAAAGCTAAACCAAATTTCTGCGTCGTAGTTACTTAGTTTCACCGCAAAGTGGGATTCGGTTATGTTCCTATTAGATGTCACCTTTCGCTCGCACTCTCACTCTCTCCCTCTCTCTCTATGTGCAGGGGGTCTTGCTCCTTCAAACTTGGTCGAATAGAATCTGATAGACACTAATCACTCCAAGAAGTGGAGCGCGGTCATAAAATCTAAAATGTCAGATTGTTAAAGGTCTAAGGTGTTTAACCCACGCACCATATAAGGGATCTACAGTAAAGTAGGAATTTTATATTTTGAGGTCTACATTGAAAGTTCAAATCATGTTAGACCTCAGCCTCCCCATACCTGAAGGTATGCCCATTCTATACCTTCTTGTCATTCCTTATCATGTTTATTTCTAGCAGGTGTGAGACTTCAATCAATGTATGTCCAAGAAATGTGCGAAATGATTGAAAAACGTGCGAGAGGAGGAATGACACAACGTTGCAAAAGGCGAGCGACGCTTTCACCTAACGCAAATCATGTTTTTAGCAGAAGCACCCCCACCCATCGCTGTTTTCAAAGGCAAACACCGCCTTTCCAAGAGGCAAACACCGCCTTTCCAAGAGCAAAACCCGCCTTTTGTAACACCTGACAATGTCTATGCAACCCAACCTTCGTTGAGGGAGCGACATCATTCCTCAACACTTCATGCTCCATTCACTCCTTGACGCAGGTTTGGCTTCAATTGAGGCAAAAAACATGGAACGGAAATCACGATCCCAACAGCAAATCGTATGATTTATAAGCGGCGGTCTTCATATGTGGTGATGGCAATAACCATGGTAGTAGCAGTAGTAGTAATAGTAGTAGTAGTAGTAGCAATTAAAAAACAGCAGCAGCAGTCGGAGTAGGAGTACAAAAGGAGTAGGGGTAGGAGGAGGAGGAGCAGTAGTAGTAGTAGTAGTAG